TTCTGAATAAAGCGACGTATCTCGAGCTTTTCATGACATTTTTCCATGAAAACTTTATTGTGGAACACATCCACCAAACCAGTAGAACTAATAGGAAAATACGAAAAAAGACGGGCGTTTTGTTCATTGAATGAAGTTTTCATGGAAAAATGTCATGAAAAGCTCGAAGATACGTCGCTTTATTCAGAAATATGTATTATATAAGACGGAGTTGTTCACAAAAAGTTTCTCAATCGAATTCACATACTTGATTTTCTAGAGACCAAAATTAAAAAAAGTTTTGATGAAATCTTTGCATGAATCACATCTCATTGGAAACTCTTTCAGCTATTCAGATCTGTTTTCAAATCTGCTTCACCTATCAAAAAATCAAAAATAAAAGTTTTCAGCGTAGTTTTGGGACTCACAATAGGTCAGTTCGTAGAAGATATAACCAGCTTCAAAATGGTATAGAACAAATAGTTAGGGTGGAAGAAAACAGAGTAAAACACCCTTTACCGATGACCTTCGAACTACGGTAGTCAATTGGCATCTTATTGACGAGAAACTCTACTCGACGACGAGTTTTGGTCGTCAAAATACGCAAAATTACTTCGAATCGAATAAAAATACTTTTCTACTATTTATGAAACCCTTTTCTAGATAAAAAGTAAAATGGACCGATTGTGAACCTTATACGGATTCCTCCTTTGTTTTAATCAAATTTGATAATTTACTTGTCTATTTGCTTCGACGAATGCGACAATATTTTTAATTCTATATGCAACTGGTGTATCTTGGATATATGAATAGCATCCATTTTGTTGTACATTATCATTATTTATTTCATATTTTTCTAATATTGATATCAAATCATTTTGAACATCGTACGCAGCTAAACAAAAGAAAGTGAAATCATCCTGTTTATATGAGAAATAAAAAGTGAAATATACTTGTTTTCTGTCGAATCATCGTCTTCTGTTTTGGTTCATTAATAAGATCAAGTAGTACATCACGAGATGCTAGATTACGAATCATTTTCGGAATAAATTGTTTTCGTAACGATGAATAATTATTTGAAATATATATTCACTGCTATAAAATCCGATAGAAGTTCAATAGATTTTCTTTACACTTACCTACTTATAGCATAATCTAAACATGATTTTTTAATTAAATAGATATGACCATCGCATAGATCTGCTCAAATACTTAATCTTGGAAATCTAAATACAGATATTTACTAAATATAGTTTATCAGATATTTTTCTAATATATTGTACAATTTTAATATCTTTTGTCGTAGTGGTAAATGGTTATCACAGTCTGCTTCCATTTTGATTGATGTTACTGTATTTGTAGATTCTTCTAAGCCAATAAACTCCAATTCTAAAACAAGTTCAACTGTTTTGTGATCATTAATTTCCTCATATTCCTAAAGTCATATCTACAGGGCATAAATTACATCATAAATCATGAGAAAATGGATGTATTTCACTTGCCTTGTCTAAATCTTCCTTTTTGTCCAGGAACACTTGTTTCTTTATTAAACGGTGATTTTGTTAATAATAACACAAGTGAGGCATTTTCAATTCTAAACATATTTATCATTAGATTTAAATTTATCTTTCCAAATAGATCACATGTTAAAAATAATAAATTTTCATATTTTATTTTGGTATATAGTAGTCTCAATACATCTAATGTTCCGATTTCATCATCTCCCGATTTGACCACTATGACCATGTGTTAATATAATAATTCATATTTTAATGTTAATGTTATCGATGATAAATAATCGTCGAGTGATGTTAGATATTGTGGTGATGTTAGAATTAAACATTGTTGACAACCATTTATTTCTAATAGTTTAAGAGTATACCAGATGAGTGGACGATTACCAATTGGTAACAGACATTTTGGAACTATTGATGTTACTTCAGACATGCGCGAATCCACGCCACCAGCATATAAAACAACTATAAATTCTTTCATATTGAAATATAAATCTAAAATATATGAAAATTCGAATCATCAAATTATTTTATTTAGTTCACACGGGGGTTTCAGCGAGTAACACTATCGAACTATTAGAAATCGTCGTGAAAAGACAAGAAAATCATGATCAAAAATCAAACTAATTAAAACACATTTTTGGTGCAGAACATAACCGAACTTGCAGATATAACGTTTTCAACTCACTAATATCGTTCGTTTTGTCAAGCTGATGCTAAATTTGCCTAGATTATTCAATGCGTATCTAAGTGCTTTATAATAGTTTTCTAAATCAAATTTTATTAAATATCACCGATCGTTTTTGTTTAAACAAACACAAGGAAAAAAATGTCTGTGACAGAACAGATAAAATACACACATAAATTGTCTTGTTAGATATTTTTGTTTAGATAATGAATGGAATGATGGCTTTACGCCGTCTTGGATAATTTACAAAGTCTGCTTTATACTGTCGATGTTCTTCTAATGCCCACATTGTTATTTGATATGCACCAGCCATAGTAAACAGAAGACCTGGTAATGTTTGCGTCATAAGGGAGAATGATATCCATGAACCCATTTCATATGTATAGTTTGGACATGAGACGAAATTAAATAATTTTGTAAAGGGATTTGATGTTGGATAGGGAGGACGTAAAATACCTAAATCACGTAATGCCAAATGAATGGATAAAGTACCTATTTCATTTATCTAGACACAAAACAATCATTTAAAATAAGTAGTTGAACTATGAAAATAATTTTTCTTTCTTCTCAAAACTATACTTACAATAAATGCAGCTAATAAAAGATAAATTTGAACATTTCCAAATGATGCTGGTGTATAGTTTGGATGATTAACAAAATAAGCCACCCAAGCAGTAAATCCCCAATAGTAACCACAATTCTAAACAACAACACATGTAAACTTTATGTGAATGTGAAAGATGAGTGTGTTGACATGTGCAAGGTGTTTTATGTTTAACAAAATAACTATTTTTCTCTAAGCAGAACATCTTTATTGAGAGTCTCGCTATAAACTAAAATAGAGAGAATTACAATAAACAAACATACTTTGAATAAATTAAATAGTGGCATCGTATTATGTGAAAAACGATCAAAAGTTAATGTTTCCAATATTCTTTTTGCATAATGAAATGTCCAACAAAATGCAGCAAGGCTAAAAAAATAAAAATATAAATAGAATGCAACGAACTGACAATAAACCAAATGTAAGTGTAACTTTTCTATTAAATTTGTATATATCAACTCACTGAACAACTGTATGTACTGGTCTTAACATAGCAAAACAGGTCACTTTTCCTGGGGCTGGTTTACAAGAAAACGGAATGCATCAATCGATGGGGAATTTAACGAGGATCCCAGATATGCTACCCCTTTTCCTGGACAACTCTTAGTTTTTGAGA